GAAGACAAAACAAGAGAGGATCAACTCAGGCACTGGAAGTACTGGCACTCCAGGCAGCACACCGCCAAACAAAGGTGCATTGACATAGGTAAGAAGGGATCCATTTACAGGAGCCAAAACTCCTCTTGGCAGGCTTTGTTTCTCTGTATTGGCCGAGGCCAGGAGAGTCCATGGTCGCCTTTGATCATGTTTCTTTACAGTTTTGGTTCTTGTTTAACAATATTTTGGGTGAATAAGGAATACCGTTGCCCATCCCAAAGACTGTGGGTTAAGGTGGGCTGTTGATCCAAACAAATCAACGGGAAGTGGTGGTGAACAGAAGCATAGACAGCTTCAAGAGGGGACTGGATAAACATATGGAGCAGAGGTCCATTAGTGGCTATTAGCCACAAGGTATAGATGGAACACTATGTCTGGGGCAGTGATGCTCTGTATTCTTATCGCTTGGGGGGAAACAGTGGGAAGGCTTCTGGAGTTCTGGCCCCGCTGGTGGACCTCCTGATGGCACTTGGGTTTTGGCCACTGGATGACACACAGGCCGATTTCCCACAAGCGCTGCTCCGTGCTCGCTCTTCCCTTTTGCCCTGATGGTACGTGTCAATTTCACACAAGCTGCTGCGTGGCCGCATTTTGCCCCGCAGCTTTGCGCGATTTTCCCCGCATCTACTCAATCCTCAAAAAACAGGATCGAGTAGACGCGGGGAAAATCACATGAAGCTGCGGGGCAAAATGCGGCCGTGCAGCAGCTTGTGTGAAATTGACACGTACCATCGGGGCATAAGGGAAGAGCGAGCGTGGAGCAGCGCTTGTGGGAAATCGGTCACAGTGTTGGACTGGATGAGCCATTGGCCTGATCCAACATGGTTTCTGTTATGTTCTTATGATGCTTCTTTGATTAAGGTACTATTTACGCGGAACTGGAAGGTCAGGACCTACAGTTGGTTACAGACCTCATGCTACCCAAGTGTGTGTTGAACGTCGCTGTCTTGAATCTAGCGCTGTGTTTTCGCCTGCTGCTGTGAGTGTAGAAGAGTCTATGTCTCCTGTGGGCCTTGCAGACTTTCTGAACAGCTGATCTTTGGTTTATTTCCCTCAGATACCAGCGTATGGCCACTTCATTTTTAATCACCACCCTCCCAGGAATGCATGCCCAGTTCTTAATACCTGATATGACAGGTGTCAGGCCTCCAGCTTGCCTTGAGGTCGTTTTAACCCTTAATCCAAAATATACATGGGTTATAGTTGTGGTTAACTAGTGCTGAGGGCTTGGCACTCTGCACATGGGCAAAGCTATTCCTGCTTTGTACTCAGATGCTTGAAGGTGAGCTCTGGTGTTGCAAAACAGGTTCCAGGGCTGTGGTGAGGCCCTGGCACAAGACATACTCAAAGCACAGTTGGGGCAGGGAGGTGAAAGACAGCTTTGCAGATAGGCCGTTGTCTACAGCCATGCTGTGACTGGCCGGATTCCAGGTTTGAAGGCTGGGTTGCACTCCCTGTCCTTTCCTCCTGTGAATAAAAGTGGGGATTAATCACTTGGCACTTAAAGGCAGACACGCACACAAATCTTTGTTTATTATTGAAGGAGTTTTTTGATGGAGAGCATATATCCTTGTGACATTTCTCAAACAAAACCCCACAGGGCATGGCCAAGGTAAGTTGTTATGTCACCCTTCTTGCTTATAGCTTTTTGTTTCATTTCTTGGTTTAAAAAAAAAGGTAAATGCACTATTTTCAGGCCTTTATTAGAGAGATCCCACAAGAACATTGGTTTTAGCAGCTTTCATTACTTTGACTGTTACAGTGGTCAACTGTTAACACGATGCTTGTTTTCTTTCTCTCCCTCATCTTATGGCCAGCTGATTACAAGGAAAGCTTCAATACCATCAGTAATATTGAGGAGATTGCGTACAATGCCATCTCCTTCACTTGGGACATCAACGATGAAGCAAAGGTAGGTGCCAGAACTTTTCTTTCCTGGCTTCTTTTGGGAAGTGAAGCAACAACGGGGTGAGATAAGATGGCAATTGCCGTATTGCTCTTGAATCGGGAAATAGCCACTGTAGAGGGCTGCCAAAGAAGGCTTGTGCATAAAATTATTTTTTAAGATCTGAAGCTGTGTCAGTTGGTGGCCATGGCTTTTAAGACTTTGTACGCATGTATTCCACATCAGGGCATTCTTTAGGTGGTTGAAACATAGTAGATAAATGGGTGGTTGAAACGTACTAGATAACTGAGAACAGCTGTGACCTGTGATGTAACCTTGAGTCTGTACTGTCAGGGCTCAGTTGATGAGAGAGGCACTCTTTCTTTCTCTTCAGTTTGACCCAAGCATGATAGGGAGTAGGAAATCACAGTGGGACCTAGCGGCAAAAAAGAAACCCGGAAGTGGAATTTTGTATAGCAGCAAATGAGTATTCAGAAACCTTCAAGTGACTGGGTGCCTGTAGTAGTGTTCCAGCTGAGAAGACCATCTGGCAGTTTGTCAGGTGTGCCAGAGTGTGAGCACCTATGCAAACACCAGCTTACAGCCCTCTAAGTTTAAACAGAGGTGTGTTTGCAGGCTGGAACTTGTAACCTTCCACAAATGGTCCATCTCCTCTTCCAAAGTGTCCTTGCTTAATAGACTCACTGAGTCACCTTTTGAGCATCTGTTCACAATACAGAGGTCACTGGATGGAGTGACAGTATTATTGGGACTTTCCTTCAAGAACTATTATTATATGCACAAAGACAATTTCAGAGCCAAAGGACAACATTCATTTATTGTCGTTTTGTGGTGGGACATCTAGGTAAAACTAGTCCTTGTGAAGATATTTACCATGTTGCCCTGCCAAAAGTGCAGGCATCTGAATGAACGGTAAATCCATTTCCATAGAGTGGGGGGAGCACCTGTGTCGTTTTCATGAGATGGCCACCAGAAGTTGGTTCCAAGATGGGCATATTCATAGCAACAAATGAACTGATATCACTATAACCACCACAAGAAGGGGGCAAGACTGGACAAAAGGGCCTTTAGGCAGAGCATGTCCACCTACCTACCTATGCATTTTTCATAGTTTCTGCTGAATTTGTGGGTTTTCAAGTACAGCGTGTGTGCTTTTAAATCTTATTGATCCTGTGATTAGCTCAGTATGGGGTTTATTTGTACACCACCACACTTTCCCCCCTTACACTTGGCACAAAGTAGCCTGAATCTGTACTAGCCGGCGCAATCATTGGACCAGTCTTAGTTTCCATTTCATGCTATGAAGTCTGAGAACATTGTTGTGGGGTGTTTGGAACCCCTGGCTGAAATGTGTTTGAGTTCACTGTTTCCCTCCCACCTCCATCTTGAATGATTAGTTTCAGCGCTTCAGGGGATGTAAGAAAGACAAGGCTGTTGTCCTTTTCTGCTGGTGTACCTGACAGATGATCTGGGCAATAGCTCAGGAGAGAGGAAATGGAGGGCTTTCACAGTTGAATTTGGCAGTGGACTCTTTAAGGAAGGATTTGTGGGCAGAGGAGAAGGTGATTAGGGGATGGGCAGTGGAAACTGTTCCAAGCCTTTATTGCTAAATAAATATCCCTGTCTCAGCAAATGTCCGTGATGTGTTTATCCTTGCAGACTGAATGGCATTACGTTAGCACCTGATGCTTGATATGGTGTTACTTTGAAGCTGGTATCGAACACCAGCATTAGCCACTTGAGGCTCTAATGGATGGTGTTGATCCTGATAGTGACTTCTTGAGTCAATCTAGGTTGTCTTAGGTACTCTTAAAATTTGGCAGTCATATACGACTGTGCTGTCTTATTGCAAAATGCCAGCTCCTATGGTTAAGTGTCGATGCTGACCTAGATAGAGTGGGCTGGCATCTGTCCCCAAGGAGACAAGCAAACTGAGGCAATGCAACCAAACTCTGTATCTTTAGATCATCCAAGTGGCAGATTCAAGAAGAAAGCTGCCTGTGTTCTGTGTGAACAAAATCTGTGGCATGGAAATCCTGTGCAAATAGTGTTATGTGGAGATGCAAAATTACTTCATTAATATTGAAAGTGTGTCTTTTTAAAAAATTACTCAGTTTGTGCATTCTGAATAAGCACTGCAGATTT